GGAAGCCTGCTTTTCCCTCTCCCACTCCCCCTGCTTGTGTTCCCTCTCTCGCTGTCTCTCTCTCTGTTGAAAAATAAATAAAATCTTTAAAAAATAAAAAATAAAAAATAAAATAAAAGTGGAGGGGAAAAAAAAAAAGAAATAGAGCAGCCCCATAGCCCATTCTGCCCCAAGGGAAAAGCAGGCCAAATGGGGCAAAATGATACCACAATTTACATGGGGGAACTGAAGTCCACAACCAGCTAAGACAACTTTACAAAAAAGGGCAAAGATGGGGAACCTGGCTGAGGAGAGAGTAAAACATTCCAAATGGCCACAATGGCCCAACAGCAGGCACTGCTGAGGGAAGAAAGGGGCCAAAGGATCAAAGGCGAGAAGGCCAGGCCCAGGCCCCAGCTGAGGAAGCTGGGGTTAAGACCAAGGGGTTTCCACAGATTGGTGGGAAAGTTGGTCTCTGGGGTGTGATGCTGGGAAAAGCAGCTTACTCGACCCAAGGAAAAAAAAAAAATCAAGCTAGGTCCCTACCTCACACCTTAACACAAAAACTCTGAAGGATCAATGTAGCTACCAGAAGCTACAAAGCTACAGGAAGAAAATGTAACAGAATATTGGGGACCTCAGGAAGGGGAAAGATTCCTTTAAAAAAATTCCTCAAAGATGGGGCGCCTCGGTGGCTCAGTCAGTTAAGTGTCTGACTCTTGATTTTAGCTCGGGTCATGATCCCAGGGTTGTGAGATCAAGCCCAGAATCAGGCTCTGCACTGAGCATGGAGCCTGCTTAAAATTCTCTTTATCCCTCTCCCTATTCCCTACACTCTCCCTCGCTCTAAAAACAAACAAATGAACCTCAAACCACATATGAAAAATACAAGATGATCTCACTTACATGTAGAATTGGAAAAAAACAAACTCCTAGATGCAGAGAACAGAGCGGTGGTTTCCAGAGGCAGGGGATGAGGAAATGGGAGAAGGGGGTCAAAAGGTAGGAATTTCCAGTTATGAGATAAATAAAGCCTGGAGATGTCCTGCCTAGCATGGGGACTATAGCTGATAATGCTGTATTGTACATTTGTAAGTTGCTAAGAGAGTAGACCTTAAACATTCTCATCACAAGAAAGTCTGTAACTCTGAGCTGACAAATGTTAACTAAACTTACTGCGGTCATCATTTTGCAATATATACAAATATCATTATTTGTATACCTTGAATGGGTACAATGCTACATGCCAATTATACCTCAAAACCTGAAAAAAATTAAAAATTAGCAAAAGAAGAAAAGAAAAATATGACGGATTTAACTGTATCTGACATGAAGATTTCTACTTGATTTAAAAAAAAAAACAAAAACGGGGTGCCTGGGTGGCTCAGTCGTTAAGCGTCTGCCTTCTGCTCGGGTCATGATCTCAGGGTCCTGGGATCGAGCCCCGCATCAGGCTCCCTGCTCAGTGAGGAGCCTGCTTCTCCTTCTGCCACTCCCCCTTCTTGTGCTCATTTGCGCTCTCTCTCTCTGTCAAGTAAATAAATAGAATCTTAAAAAAAAATAATGGGGTTCTAAAGCTAGACCATGGGGGTTCAAATCCCACCTCCTCTAATCTGGCCTTGAGGAAATGGGTGCTTCTCTGAGCCTCGGCTCCCTTGTCTGTGGAGTGGGGATTCTCCCCCGGGGGCATGGAATAAGATCACATCTGGGCTTGGTGCACAGCCAGGACTTAAGTCAGTGGGAAGGGCTGCCTGGGTCCGCAGCACGGACGGCCCGTACCTGGCTGGCTTTGGCATTGACGTTTCCGAGCCGGAAGAGCTGCAGGATGGT